ATTCATCCATCCATCCATTCATCTATCCATCCATCCATTCATTCATCCATTCATCCATCCATCCATCCATCCATCCATCCATCCATCCATCTATCTATCTATCCATTTATCCATCCATCCATCCATCTATCTATCTATCTATCTATCTATCTATCTATCTATCTATCTATCTACCTATCTATCTCTCTATCTATCTATCTATCGATCAATCGATCGATCCATCTCTCCGTCCGTCCGTCCGTCCATCCAACCAACCATCCATCCACCCATTCATACATATCTCTCTCTATCTTAATGATTTGAAGAGTAATAAAGAGAAAAAAATTATTCATCACGGTGTGTCGGTATAGTGATTTTATTATGCTACTGTATCGGTACATTCGTAACAACACGTCCTTGAGTGAATCTTTACCTGTACACAGCGCCTCAAGCGCGCAAATCTGGTTTAATGTAGAGGATTACTAAACATATCACGTTCGTGATACTGATTAATTAGCTATGACTTCTAATCTGGTGTGTTGTCACTGAAGAATGCTAACTCCGGATACTGCTGTGAAGAACTGTCTCGCAAAAATATCAACCGCTGTATTGTCTATCACATGAGACTAACAACTCCGGGTATTGCTGTAAACGATGTTTCCAGTACCGAACCTCGGCTCCTGCGTAACTGCTGGGTACTAATGAATCCATCGTTAACGATTACTCCAGAAACGCATTGAAACTCTTGTCCTGTCACGAGATACTACCACCATAGATGAACAATTATTAGTCTATAACACAATAACTGTATATTGTTGTTAACCGGAATACGAGCTCCACACCGCACACGGGGATTAACGTATCCACGTAACCGAGTATCCACTTCAGCTACAGGCTCATATCACTCGCCACTGTTGCCCGCACACGGTGAGCAACAGGCACAACATTTCGTTTATTGGCGTCAACATTTTCTCCGACCTAGGACCGAGACTCTAATTTCCCGCCTACGGTTGCCTTGTTGGCCTTGAATATCGATACTGCTCCAAAGAAACAATCCCTCGCCATGACTAGTGAGTTTCCCTGATCTAAATTCAAAAGCCGGATTTCTGCCACACCGTGTCTGGGTTGCTGCGTTTTAATCACGATTCATGCGCACCTGAATAATTCAATATTGCACTCGCAAATCAAGTAGCCACCTCCCGTGTGTTATCCCCCCTCTCTCTCTCGCATACGGGCTCCCTCATATACTCATTAAAATGATTGATCGAATCTCGTGGGTATCCAGCACCGCCATCATCTATATATTATCACAGGCCTGCCATCATCGCAGCGTACCTACTGTAACGGACTTGCATTCTTTGACGTCAGGAGTAACTTGGTGACAACCAATGTTGTAATATTGCCTACGAAACTGAGGCACGTGTGCAGTGATCACCTGGTTAATGTAAACTCTGTCGCAGAAAGTGTCAATAGACGGTGGTGTAATTACAGACAAGGTAGCGCCAAGGTATAAAGACTAGAAACAACATATACCAGTTCATACAACGGCGAATCTACGTAATGGTAGGCCCGTTTGTTATTAGGAAACATCGGTTGCCACCTACCAGATCTTGCGCTAGAAATGGTCTGAGCGGACCGTTCGTTACGGATTTTTTGTTCGCCTTCAATTACAGAAAAATCGAACCCACGTTTTGAGTTATGAGCCACACGCCCACACCATTTTGACGGGGGCTTTAGTCCCTACTTGGAAGAAATAGTACGGTTTATACATTCTCCTCCATCTCCTCCACCTCGCCTTTTTTCAGCTTATCATACTTCTTTTACTCAATTGCTTTTACTCCCTTATCTCTACAACGCCCACATCCATCCCAATACCACCCTACAATTTCGTTAGTTATCTTCCTTTCACTCCTCTTCTCGATCCCTCTCCGCCTTAATTGTTCCTTACTGAATCTGAAAGTCACTCTACTGTAACTACACAGGAGTACTTACTTTCATTAAATGCAGGGCTGCATGGTTAATGTTTGGAAATTTTACCTCCAACGGTTCCTGCAAGATAGAACGTAATAACAATTAAACTCGAAGAAGGTAAAAATCACTATCAACTCCTACACCTTGTAAACGTACTTATTTTAATTATTTCGTTTTTTATAACCTGCAACGACTTTTATGCGTAAATAGGAGTTAACAATTTAAAGGGCAAGTAAAGAGCAAAGGCAACATGAGCAGCTTCATTTGTCTGATGTTACCAAAACCTGCGAATAAACGCTGATAGGGAGCCACGAGCGCACTCCCACGTGCTCGGATTTCCTTATTAGTGAAATTGCCTCGAGCCTCCTCCACGACAGGTAACGTTAACTAAGCACACAGATATGTTCTAAGAAGTTCGTGTCCACAGGCACTTGAAGCGTTTCACTAAAATATAATGCTAAATAAATACGAAATCTATGATCTATTTATCTGTTTTGTCTGACACTTAAATATATAGTGTATACACACACTATAGTATTGTAACACACTATATATTTAAGTGTCAGTGTGCAGCGTCAGGAATGGCGGCTGGTAGCGTGTGTTCCACATAGAGGATTTGGACGGAATTTACAAGAAACTGTCGGCAATAATAGGTGAAAGAGAGTATAGAAACATTAAGAATTTAGTAGTAAATAAATTTCGTATTTATTTAGCATTATATTTTATTGAAACGCTTCAAGTGCCTGTGTTCGTGTCCGTGTCGCACACAGACACGCAGCTATAACACGATGCAACTGTTAGCTACGGGAATGCAGCACCATACATATCCCGGTATATGACTCCTTGATTTGACTACAACGGTGTTTATCGAAACTGCTAGTTATAGATACTGGTGATATCAGGAGTATATGAGAATATGCGTGAATATGTGAGAATAGGAGTCAGGAGAATATGCGGAGTGGGTACCAATTATTTACTCCTGGGTATATCCGGGTCTATGATAACAGGCGTCTCATATTCACAGCACAGGGATCGCTGTTACTCGCGTTAGTTGCTTTTATATCTCGTTTCCCTCCGTGACGGGCATACGCGCGTCGATGTGGTTGCTAACACCCCCCGCCCCGCCGCAGCAGTGGACACGCGCTGGTTCCCCAATCACCTGGCTCCAGGCAACCGCACCTACTAAATACATTCCTGGCAACTGTATACGTCGATGTAGCCAGCAGGCGATAGAGCTTTGGCGGATGCATGGTACCGATACTGAAATAGAGTCGCCGGGGTCCGCGCGGTATCCACATGCAGGGCGCTATAGCGAGGCACGTACACTAACGGAAATATAAACATCCGGAATAACGGACGAAGTTCACATGTTTGCTAATGCGATCCTGAAGCAATAGATTTCCAAACAGCCCTAAAAATAAATTTGGGAACAACTCGTTTTCTAACCCTTGCCCTAACCCTAACTCGTAACTCTCAAACTACACAAATATTCTACCCCGCATCTCGATAATGATGGAAACTAGGAATACATTCGGAGTCTATGCACTAAGAAATCTTCTGCGGGACTGTATAGCTTGAGATTGCGATGATTTCTGAAGAAATCATAAATCATAATTCAAATTGCATTTTCCCATCTTGTATGTGATAACAATAACAAATAACATATGACATAATTAAAGGAGGGGCTATACAGATTATACATTCATATGAGCAGTTTTGATGGCTTTTCAGCCGACGCGGTGTGTGCCAAAAATAACTCCCACTACCTCCACAATTGTCGCCACTGACAACCAGCGGTCGATCGCTGCATTAATATCGCAGCAACATTGACCGCCCCTCTGCTCACTAATTAATGCGAATATAATTATGTGTTGATCTAACGCCGTGCGACGTGGTGATGTCTGCTTTGCATGCGTTTTCGCTTTCAGGATGTCAATGAACGACCTAGTCATGGCGTTCACCCTGCTGCAGTGTATCCAACAATATATAGCGCTAAAGGTGACAACGTAAGGAAACGGTATACTGTTATATTGTGATTTCTCGAATGTCGAAATACTCAACATATATTTTCAAATATACTCAAAATATTTCAAATATACTCAAATATATTTTTAATTCTGTTTTATTATATTATTTTTATTCTATATGCTTTTAATGAACATCTGACGTTGAAATGAATGACAAGAGCATGGGTCATGGTGTAGTAGATTGATTCATAAATAGAACAATTACGATGATTTTGTAGCTGTAGATTGTTAGTGCTTAGTAACAAGTCATTGCTGACGTGAATAGAAAATAAGATGGTCACTCACCATGTAGTCTGGCTCGGGAATGCTGAGACCGTAGAAGAACTGATTAGTCGCGAAGATCTGATTGTGCCTAGGTATCATTTCACCTGCAATGTACATACAGTGTACACGCCAAATGTTCGAGCGCCGAATGTCTCCCTCCCTCCCTCTCTCTATTTTTCTCTCTCTCCCTCGCTCTCTCTTTCTCTCTCTCTATCTCTCGCTCTCTCTATCTCTCGCTCTCTCTTATACACATGCGCGCATGCACGCACGCACGCAAACATGGAGACACGCACACGTGGGTACTGTCTATCTCCATCTATATCTAAATTACATTTATTTCCCCCATCTCTTTCCATCTCTCTCTCTCTCTTTCTCT